AAGGATAGACTACATGTTGAAGCGACCACTGAGTGATATTACGCAACAATTCTTCCAGTGGAACTACAATAATAAACAACGATTTGGTCGTCATTTTAAGGGTTACACGGAGAATATTGTACGAGGAGGGGATGAGAACTTGTTAGCAGAGGGGAGGCAGGTAGAAAAGGACTCAACAAGCACGAATGAAATGGAGATATGCAGCTGAAACACTGTGTTCCACTTGGAACCCAATGGATGAATAGTAATAGTAATAAATTGATCGATCGGTCGATCGATCAGTAATGAAATCGATGAGGGAAGTTCAAACAAACTCAACAATGCTCTGACTGACAACTAATCCAAAAAGACGAACACATAATAGCAAACTGTGCCAACATCATACAATACCAATAGATACCATTCAGGGTTAGAGAATAATTACAACTCAAAATTTCTACTACCGGTTAAAATTTCCAAAATTTCCACACATTTGAATAAATGTTTTGTGACATTTATTGTTTCATACGTTATGATAATAAAACCCAAGTGGAATGGTTATAATCTGTTTGTACTTTCTCCTGTTCACATGAGAGACACGTATATATCAACTGGTAATTATGTAACGCATACATTTATTTGCATAAAGAATTAATTCTATCACACGTTTTGATCGAATGATTATTGACAATCTGTTGAGTAGTGTGAGTGTAATTGACCACCAAAACTGATATTCACCCCGAAATGTGCACACAAATCAATAGAACATGCAAGTCTACATGACTGCTCACTTGTCGTTATGGCCTGATAAGGCGATTAGGAACTTATTACTCAGGTCATTTAATTATATTTATTGATTTTTTTTTAATTCGGAAGTTAAATTGTGTTGAACTCATTCTAGGCTTGCTTGGTCACTGGATCAAAAGACGACCTGTTTTAAGGGAATTCTGAAGGATTATTACTGTTTCCTTTAATTCCTAGAGGGACATAGGCCTTCGGCCGTGAGTCTCCATTGCGTTCGGTTCTCTGCTAGAGTCTTCACCTGGCTCCACGTCTGCCCACATGCTTTCATCTCCTGTTCACATGACTTCCTCCAAGTCACCCTTGCACGACCGACTCGCCGCTTCCCTTTCGGGTTCCACTCGAGCAATGGCTTGTCTAGTGATGTCACTTGATTGATTGTCACCTCAGAGTAATGGCCAATCCATCTCTATTACCTCCTGCCTGCCTGGTTGATTCGCTCCCAGAGATCTCTATTGCTGAAGGATTCTGAAGGATAGGTCATCTTATTAGAGGGTGTTGTTCACATACACTTTTGCCTTGATATGTATTTATATGTAAGTATATTGTTTTCAGAACGAATTTGATTTTTCGGTCAGGGCAGAAATCGAAGTGTATTTTAGCAAAGCTGAGATGTACATTTTTATGGTTACCTGGAATTTAAATGGTTTTTAAACCAACCAACTGAATGGAAGACAGACTTTCTTGGCTTAGATATTTGGGTGAAACCATACAATACAGTATATGTGTAAACCTTGTGCACTTTGGTTACAAGTAATCTCATATAAGTTTGTTTATTACATATATATCAAATGGGGAAACAGCAGTATTATTTACTGGGTGACGTTTCGAGTAGAATCTAGTGCTGTTCATAACCATATTCATTTATAATCACTCAACTTCGAAACTTGAGTTTTATAGTTGTCTTTGTCCTCTCCTATTTGTCGTCGTTGAGGTAGTAGAATTTTCCAGATATCTGCGACAGGTGTTGAATCATTCCCATTACACGTATTTGTAGTTGATTCGATAAACAAAGCTTCCATTATCAATCTCTTCCTCCACCCTGTAACATTAGATTTAAAAACTGTTATCTTATCCCATCCTATTGTATGGCTGTGTGTAACTGCATGTAGTGAATGGTATAGCTTAACTATTCTCTAGATTTCTTCTCTTATTCAGGTCAACCAATCTAGAATTTGCTAAGTTTTTATGCTCCGCTAGTCTGACTGCACCTGTTCTACTAGTTTGACCCATCTATGTATTTAACCTGACAATCATTGCAGGCAGGGTACTAGATAAACTAAATTGTTTTGTCTAATCAACTCCACAGGATTCTTTAACCGACAAACCTAATTTCTAATTGATTTTGTGGGTTTGAATGCCACTTTTTCTCCTGCATTGTTAAGAATTCTTTGTAGGGTTCCGGATGTTCCATCTTTGTATGGAAGTACTACTGATGATTTAGATTCCTTATTGTTGGTGTTGTCATTGTCTTGCACATGTTTGACATGCATATCGTCATTAATATTACTATTATTATTATCATTATCACTATCACTACTATCTTTATTTATTTCATTTTATTTTTACATTTCCCTACCTACTTTCTGTCTAATCTATCAGGGTAATGACTAAGTTTCGAAGCTTCTATTATATACCTTACTTCCTGTCTTAGATTTTCTTTGGTACTACTTAGTTTTGTGGTCTGTTAATTAAAGTAATAAGTAAAAGAGCACCAAAACTAAGCAGAACAAAGGAAAATCTAAGACAGGAGAGGACAAAGAAAACTATGAAACTCAAGTTTCGAAGTCGTGTGATTATAATTGATATGATTATGAGCAATAAATTTTGTTCGAAATATCATCCTGTAACTAGTAATACTGTGCGTACCGCTGAAGAGTCCCAAATTAGGGCGAGCGAAACAGCTGCACAGTACTCCCTGCAAGTTTTCCATTGGTTCTCTAACTGCTGTCAGCTCATGATGAAATCCTCCTACCAATCAATCAAAATCCCTACAAAAACCAATACTCTTCTTTAGCATAACAGACTACTATTATTATTGTTATTGTGGTTTTTTTATAATTTCACTCACCTTCTTTGTATGTAGTTGGACCACCGTATGGAGGTGTAACATTCCAATTTATCAGCAGAGAAGCTCCATTTCTCATACTGGCTGCTTTGATAATGTTTGATGGACGTGAGTTATTGGTTGTTTTATGGCTTAATCACAAAATTGATTCAATTAGATTATATATGTTCATTGTGATTTTTTTCTGATAAACTAAGAGGTAGATACTAATATATATCTGAAGTTCAAAGAAGCTTCTGTCTTTCTAGGTGACATTCTTTTTCCTTTCCTCTCTCTGCCATTCTTCTTGCCTGGTTTGTACCATTCGTGCTGTAAGGACATGTGATTTGCTTATCCGTTTGTTACAGAATGAATACCCCAATCACTTGGCTTCATTGAATTTGCTTGCATTTAATCCCCTCCAAATGTGAGACTGTTTGCTTTCTCATATAACTGAGACTAATGCGAAATAGTTTGTTTCCATGACTTTTGTAATACAGAGGGTGTTGAAGCAGAAACAAAGGTCGAGAGTGTTAAATCTTTCCTCTCATCCTTCCTTCTATAAAGCCATTTCATGCTGCATTCTACATAAGACAGTTAAAATGCTCAGTGCAACTCAGCCTCTATTTTCACATTATGCTTATTCTTCTCTATAAGCCATGAGCAAACTTTCCTAACCTTCTTCTTACATTGTTCAGGACACTAAAAGTTGTCTATGGATTGAATGATTTACCTCTTAGGCAACTCGTTGTAGATATACACTTGAATTCAGACAAAAAGTGGACATCATCACAAATAACAGGCAATTCAACATTACTTAATTTTCTGTCTGCTTCCAAAGTGTCCCTACATCCAACGTCATCAAAAGATCCAATTTGCGTTTCTATATTCTGTGGTCAAAGATGCTGGCGGCAGACCAAGTAAGTACTCTCCAAAAGAGTTCCAGTAGGCGCTCCAGAAAACGACCAGAAGAATAAAAATTGTCAAGGAACTTAACCCTAAGTTCCTATTATTTGCGAAGACGCTCCGAATCAATAATTACTAGGAACGATTATTGACTTTAACTCCAAAACACAAAGACCAATAAGAAATTATATTCTTTGGCAGTTAAATTCAATATCGTTACAAAGTCTGTAAACAAATGTTTTACAAAGAATGTATTGTACTTTTATTCGCATTCTTTCGTTTTCTTCTTTTAACTTGTATACGATTGAATCATTCGTGCCCTCGAGTTGCCCGTCAATGGTAACCGAGGTCAATGAACCAACGTTCAATGTTCACATTCATTTAAAACCATTTTTATCGGAATCTAAGAACACCCCTCATTTGCGCTTCACTTCACCGCGTCTCGTCATTCTCGAGGTAGGAAGCAACTACTTTGTGCTTGCATTGCCTGGTATAAATACTGAATTATACCTTATTTAGCACCCATTTTGTGTGGAGAAAAGAGCTTTAAGCACGGAGTTACCTACTTACTGCGAAACACTATTCAAACGGTTCTTTCCGTTCTATTAATATACTACCACTATTACTGCTTGTTTACCTGTATGAATACATGCTTTCGATAAAGTGCTATTCCCTCTGTAGTTCTGCATACGCTCTGTTAATCGATACTAAGAAGATTTATACAACTTTATGAAAATAGAGGCGAGTTAGAATACACGCTTATTAGTTATCCGTGTTGAAATGATGGAGAATATTTGTAGCTCAGGTGGATAATCTGGGATCAGTTGTGTACGCTCAGTTGGTTGGTTTAACTGCGGAGGTTTCGTCGTCCTTCTAGACAGCATCTTCAGCGCAAATTGTCAATCCAGGAGGACTACGAAAGCTCAGCAATTAAACCAACCAACCAGTTCAACGAATACAACTGATTGCAAGTTATCGGTGTATTTATGCCCTCTGAATTGAGTGATTTATTGCTGAAGCAGTGATTGTTTCCCTTGGCAACATCTTCAGCGATAATTTAAATATGCAGAGAGTTCAAACTGAATACAAGCACATCGATATCATTTCACGTCAACTGTAATTCTCCTCTAGTCATTTCCATTCTAGTTAGTGTTAATTCCTTCATAAATTGACCCACACATTTTTTTCATAGGATATTTGAAAATAAATTTTCTTTAAAATTTCAACCATCCTTATTCAAAACACCATCTTTTCAAAACCATTACAGTTCTTCAACTAATAACACTGAAACCATCTATTAGACGAGAAGTTCAAGAAGGTTCATCAATAATAAAACTATTAATAGATCCTTATATTCTTATTGCGGCCGGTAAGTGTTGAATTTTCAATGAAGAGCATAAAGAATTTGGTTTAATTTCTTGATGAATGCATAAATACAGCTTATTCATGTGCCACTTTCATCAGTTCTATTACCTTACAAAAGGGTACCATGAATGAATGCTTTGATATAACTAAGATCGCTAATTCGAAGGTATTCATTTGGGAATGGCTAGCAGTAGAATTCAGAACACCTAATTCGTTTCATTTCGAGCCCCTCGGCTGAATGTACAAGCTCTCACACGTCCAGTGAACACCAGGCTTTCTGTCTATCACTTTCAACAAACTAATATCGATTCAAAGTGTTCAGAAGAGGCGAGTCATCTAGCTCAAACGTGACTGACTGAATTCAGTCGACACCAACCTGCTAATTACATTGCAAAGGCTCGGTAACGGAGGACTTTTCAGTGGCATTCCCGCGTCAGAACACTAGGGACCATAATATATGCAGTCCATGAAGTTCAGGTTTTATCCACTACAATATCTTCTATGGGAAACATTTCTCCCACTCGAATGGTTTGATGAAAGTTTTGAAGACTGCTTATTAGAAATCTTGGAAATTGATAAAGCGTGTAGCCTTATATTTTTATTACAAAGACGCATTTATAAACGTCAGTTACTTTATTTATTGTACAGCGATGTCAGCAGTGTGGAATTTTATGACTGGGAGAATCTAGGGCAATATTGACTGGGCTTTAGAAGCTACATCTTCAGGAGCAGAAAAAAACACGTACATGCGCCCGTCTAGAGTGATTGTACCAAAACAGTGTGAGTGAGATCATTTCGTTTACTAGTAACATTGTGGTGAGAGCTGTCTGAAAGTCGAAATTGTAGACAGCAGTTTATACCAATGTTTACGTCCTGAATCGGGGTCATTAGAGGAAACAATAGGCGTTGGTGGCATAGCGGCTAGGACGCTCGCCGACCATGCACGTTGTCCGGAGTTCTATCCCCGACCGACACACTCCTTTACCTCGCTAAGCCAGAAATAATACTGGTGAAGAGGAAAGGTTGGGCATGAGGCTAGCAACCCCATCCTGTAAAATAAACTTTGCTACAGAAACTCCAAGCCACTAGCTTGAAGCCCTATGTTCCACTGGGGAACGTGAAGGAAAAAAAGAGGAAACAATAACAAAGCTTAACCTTGTGGGACTCACCAACCAATCACAGCAGACTTAACGTAGGCGAAACGATTCGCAGATGTATGGCTTAACTTTCTAGGAAACGGTCACAAGCAGTACAGAATAACCTTCAGCAGGAAAAAAAAACGACAGAAGACATTGTTTCTCTGTTAACAATAACGCTAATAATAATGCACAAGAAAAATCTATAAATATCTGTTGATTTTCTCAATAAAGGGTCTGTTGCCTTGTCATTGTCTTCTGTCGTTCCAATGTATACAGTTGTCAGCTTCCTAAACAGCAGTCTGTCACGTCAGTGCCCTTCAGTAATGGAGAAATAACAGCATTTTTCTACTTAAGATTATGAATAAGATTTAAACAGCATTTCAAATAAGCTGTTATAAGAATATTTATCTGGTATTAAGTGACAGAACCAAGGAAGACACATTCCCGATGAATTTCGCAATTTCCATAAGATAATGTGCCTTTTACAAGACTGAGACATGTATAATAATAATTAGTTTGGTTCATTCTTACTCATGAACCGGGTTAATTTGTATAATTATCACGAAATTATTGATGATACTGGTCTTCTGTCCATACTGGCGTAGGTGGAGCTGGCTAATGAGCTATATCTGCATGCACAGGTTGTTGTGGAAATAAACTTCTAATCATATAAGACACTTATCAGATAGACAACCCGTTTCACGTTTAAAATCATTTTGTTTTGACTATACTCACTCAAGCTGGTGTTTCTCAAAGTGCGGTTCTTTCTCCTTTTCTGTTTTCTTTCTTATATGACTTGTCCCATTCTGATTAATCCAATCTTGTTAAGTATACCGATGATCTGATTGTTTCTCTGCTTGGTGCTTCTCAGTCAATCTGTTCTAAAATGCATAACTTTATATCAGAAATTAGTCAGCGATCCTGGTCATAAGGTCTTAAGCTAAATCTCTCCAAATGTCAGGTGGTTAACTTTACTTTCAGATGCAAGCGCGACTTACATGAACTGGTGAGTTCATATGGTTCCACTCTCATAGATGCAGAAGAAGTTGAAGCTAAATGGAATGTTAAACACCTTCAAATGTGTATTTCTTCTGATCACCTTTCCTAGTCTTCCCAAATCATGTCAGTTTCCAAAGAGATATTTCCTTTGTTGTTCAAGGAAAGGCAGTTAATGCGATCTGGTATCATTCCATCTCTCCTGTTACTGTTTGTTAATTCTTGCATTCTGCCTATACTCCTTTACTGCTCGCCGCCTTAATATTTTTTGGGCTACTTAAGAAAGACCTTGTTGCACTGCGAAGGACAGTAGTGTGGGGTGTTGCTGAACTAACTCGTCTATACTACTGTAGATAGACACTCAGATTCCTGCGAGAAATTGGCAAATATATCTTGTCAAACTCTGAAATCCTCTCTATTCACAACTCTATCCTTGCATCTATCTTATCAGGTAAGGGAACTAGAATCAACTATAGAAGACCTTATGCTCGAATGACTGAGTAGAAAAAACTCTACAATACCTTATTATGCCCGGGGAACACATTTTATGTGATGAGAAAAGTGTGTAAGGCAGGAAATTACCAACTTACTAAGGAGCTCTAGATAAACGGCATTTTTACTGAATAAAAATGCCCATTAAAATTTTCAAAAGAATGGATACTGAACAAAGAGTACTCTTTTCGATAACTTCATCATCAGGCTCTACAGTTATATTTATACATTATAGTGAATGACTGAATTAGTGTTATTAATAGCATTACCGCCGTTGTTTAAATGACATCGAATCAATAATAATATCAGTAGATTACAGTTCGACAGCACCAATATAACAATAAAGTAAATATCAGAAAAATTAGGAAAGATAATAATAGGGAATTCATCAATATATAATCTCCACTGAAGGCCAGCCAGGGCAGTAGTAACGGCTGGCTGGACTTGCTTCTTCTGCATACAAAACACTGGTTGTTTACGGCGAATTGCAATAGTCTCTGCTGTTTGGAGCATGCGGTGCTTCGATGATTTTGGCAATTTATTAGGCACCCGGTATATTATAGAGAAGGATTCTTCCACGCTGGCTTTCTGGCCGGTTTGCACTAGATGGTCAAATATCGAACTGTTAATGGTTTTAACTGCACCTTTACTTAGTCATGGTGGGAGATTTTCTCGAGCACGAAAAATCAAGTTCCTAGAGTAACGGCTAATATAACTCACTCCACAAGCGTAGCTGAATTGGTAGATACAATGTGAAGTGGCAAGTCTAGGTACTTCATCTTTCCGTCAAGGTAGCACCATCGGTCGTGTAGAGAATAAGACGTGTAGTTCGCCAGGATTAAAAGTTGTTTGAACTGATTTGCTTAATTTCTTCGTAATTATCTCACTTGGTATTTCACCCTTGAATTGCAGTTGTATATAAGGTGGCTTCTTGTTTACGGATAGTGAGTAGTCCCTTTCCGTTTTCGTTATCATGTCTTTCTTCATAAATTTTTCAGGATAGCTATTTTCGATCAAAGTATCATATATAACGCTTAATTCATCTTCAGTTACTTCTTCTGAGCATATAGCTCTAACTCCGTGGCTGAGGGTCTTCACTAAATTTCTTTTGTACTTGAAAGGAACGAAGCTGTGAAAATTTGAATATTGTCCTGTCCATGTACTTTTTCTATGCAAATTTCTTTTGTTACGCTACCATCTGGTTTTCTTTTGAGGAGGACATTCAGGAAAGCGATTCTGTTTTGGGATTCCTCTTCGCATGTGAGTTTCAAAGCCGAATGTACTTCATTGAATTCAGTAATTATTGTACTCCTATCCGAATCATTATCACAAAGAATGAAGGTGTCATCCATATGCCGGTACTAAAATGAGAACTTACTGATAAGGTTGTTTAAAGGTCCATTTTCTAGTTTACTTAGAAAAAAATATGCCAACATGGGATCCAATGGGGAGCCAGTCATCAACCCGTCCACTTGTCTGTAAAGCGTGCCGTCAAATTTGAAGTTTACATTCATGGTACACGTTAATAACAATACTTTTAGGATTTCAGTATGGATGCCAATGTTTATCGACTGGTTATCCTCTTGTTCACATATGTAGTTAACTGTTTCTACTAGAGGTACATTTGTGAATAAAGATGTTATGTCCAGAGATATCATGGTTTTGTCCTTGATATTAATTAATTTTATTTTGTCTTCGAATTCAAATACATCTTCGACGATACAATTTACTATCTTCTCATGCAAAGGTTTGAGAATATTTACAAATCATCTAGCAAGAGCATGGTAGGGAGAATTTTGCCGATTAAGTATTCAAGTATGAGTCGTAACGGTACCCCCGGTTTATACACTTTAGGTAGGCCATACAATCTTGGCGTATACGTGCCCGTTGGACAGATTTCTTTATATAAACTTTCTGAAAACATCTGCTCCTCCCTTAGTCTCGTCAAACGTCTGGTTAATTCATTCTCTGTTTTGTTATTGAAATCGTTCTTCTCCTCACGTTTTTGAAACGTCTATTTGTCCTTCAATGTATCATTCATCTTCTCAATGTAGTCACTTCCATCAAGCAGGACTCCACCTGATCCTTTGTCAGGCTTTCTTCTCATTATTACATTGTCGTTAATATTTTCACTTGATTTAATTTTATATTCACTTGTTATTGAAAAATATTATTAATGTGTGTAAATACTCTATTTTAATTATTCCTCCTGTAATGAGGAAATTAGATACAATACTGATTGTATTACATGCTGAAAATTCCACATTTGTACCAAAAAGTACTGTTTGAAATAAAGCTATTGTTACTATTATTATCTATTATTAATAAAGGTTGCATTACATTCGGAAACTTGGGTATGGCTATTCTTGAACCAACTTTACCTCTTTGGATGAAAATAAAAATGAATTCTGAAGAATGGGAACAAGGTGTTTTATTTCTATCCGCCAGTGTTTCTTATTTAATCGGTGCAAATATATTCGGACCAATATCGTATAGAATTGGTCGAGGAAACAGTGCTGGTCTCGGGTTGCTAATTTGTAGTGCCAGTTTAGTTGGTGTAAGTTTTATATGAAGGTTGTTTTTTGTGTGCTTTTTGATTTGTGCTCCAAGTGGAATACGGGTCTTCAAGTTTGAGCCTTGAAGTCCCATCGGCTGGAGATGCTGGCCTTACGGCGAATCTTCCCTACTTACCTGACTTACCGCTGGCTACGAGAGGTTTACGAGTGAATCGGTAAGAAACCTAACCCGCATCACTTGCATGGATGGCGGGAACTCTACCCTTTAACTATAGAGGCACTAGTGGTTGAGTTTTCAATCAGACAGCGTCGTAACCAAACGGTTCTGGTTTTGAATCCCCATAGTGTCATGTATGTCTAATTCTCGGTAAAAGTTCTGTTAACAACAAATATCACTAAAGTTTTTCCTATTCGTTTATGTTGAAGTGTGTAGCCCTTAATAACATTTAAGATCCTTTAAGGGAAATCCTTATTGGTGAAAACAGTGAAATTTAGAGTCTCTCAGATAAATGTTAAAAGAACAATGTAAAGCTGACATCATTGAGATGCTATGATGATCTTAACTCGTCCAACCCTTGAAAAGTAGAGTTCTAGGAGTCATTATCTGTTTCATCTCTACTTCCAGCAACAAGAAAGCAAAACGAGCCATATGAGAGACATACCATTTCCACTCTGTGACAATCTTGAATGATATCCAACCCAGGAGGCTGATAGGTTTTCAAAACATACCAAAATCTTCTATCGGAGACTGACTTTGTGGCATATCTCTTTATCACAGATGATTTAAAATATTTTTCTCCATAGAATTCCTATATTTCTTTATTTTGTTGATATGCTTTTCTGTTTTTAAACTTATTATAGTTGCCATTTTCAACAAGAATCGAACACCTGATCGCTCCAATGTTCTGTCTTGGATTCGCTATTGGTGAGTAATATTGTTCACTGTTCGCCTAACTGATGCTATCTCTATGAGATGATACGCATGTTAGTAAAGCGAATTTAAGAAATGAGCAGATATCAAACACTACACAGTGAGAAGTCCTCTAAAATTTCTTAGTGGGAGATCCTTTACAAAAAATTTGAACAAAGTGATAACAGGAACACGTGGAGTAGGATAGGAACGAATCCGTCTGAATGCAGTTGTTGGTATCCTATCAGCTATCGAGAACGTGAAGAATTAGTGTTAATAATTATATATTTATGCCCATTTTGCATTTCTAATTGAGACATTATGTTGGATAAAGCAATAAGAAGATGTAATTTGTCTGAATCGTGTATGTCATGTACTTGCGCAACACATTTCGGACAGTCTGATCACACTCCACGTGCTTGTCATAGAAACTTATATATGAAATTAATAAAGAGTTAAGAGGTGAGAAAGTAGACTTAGGTCAAATTAAAAGGCCGCCATATTGAAAGTGAAAATAACAATGAAGATCATCATTAAACCAAATAGCAGAGGTAATAGTACATCTGCTATGGTATCAAAACAAAGTTTACCAACGAAGGTTTAGTGTCATGACGAATTGTTGCATTGAACGCATAAAGGTGGCTTAAACTTTCTAATTGCTTAGGCTTCCACAAACTTTAGAATACACCTCAAACACGTTTTATAGACAGGTTTAAAAGATCTGTTAACGTCAATTTTATGTCCTGTCTCTATAATATGTCTCGCAATAGAGGAGCTAGGTCTCCTATTCTCACCATTAATGGGCTCCGAAGATTCCATTTGTTTCTGGAACCATTTAGGAATATGCTCTGAAGCCAGACTTTACTTGCAGAGATCGATGAGTCCTCTCTATGCATATGTGTCAACACGTACACTCAAGTTGGTAAATACAGTGGGATGTGACATCATTTTTCGTATGTTCGAAAGGCTTAGATAGATATACTGGCTTCACATTCTCGATTATTATGATATTAGTTGCATAAAAAGTCTTTTTAATGGCAGTGTCCAGTCTCTGTCTAGTTATCAAGCTGCTATGATGCCCCAAATCTTGCACTGAAATGCTCTGTGTCTGTTGACATGTCATCTCCTGGTGTGGATGCTTTCAGCATGTTTGAGGATTAACGTGATCGTAGTTTGCCTGATGGTGACTAGCAGTACTTTGACATTTAAAACTGTGGGTATTAAGTATTGAGTCTCACTGGAAACACGATGACTCGCTGGAAATGCACGTGTACCCGAAATAGCGCAGAGTGTGATGATGTCACTAAACAGAAGTAGGGAGTGGGAACTCAGCATTTGCATTTAATCAAAGATAATATAATCAGTGAAAGGTCAGGAGCCATAAAACATTACATGAATTAGGCTTCCATCATTTGAAAGCGATAACCTCTTTGAACTTCATAAGGCTAATGTTTATTTCTTTTTACTACTCAAATTATGTGAGGTGAAATATATTCACCACAAGACATGATTCAACAAAGTTCACTGTCATGACCACCGGCAAAAATGAGTACTTTTCATTCATCGAGTGTTCCAGAAGCTCTCTCAGTAATGAACCCAGTACCGCAGACGTTTCCCAAAATGACCATCCGGATCAGTTAACACATCAACGCCAAGTTTTGTTTATTTGCCTCACGAAAGAGTCTTAAATTACGATGGAACAATTCGTTATTTCATTAATTCAACGTCCCCTAAATTGTCTTACTTGATGAAGAAACTCTGTGTGGGAGGCGTTAAACCTCATAAATTCAACATCTGATCTGCGTAAACCTGCAGTATGCTAAAGGAGCATCTAATATTTTCATATCTCCTATATATATCTACCTGATAAATGAAATCAATAAATGCTAATTATTAGAGAGGTATGAATCCCTCTTTCTTAATGTAAGTGTAGAACTTGGGCATGGCGGCAGAATGTAGCTCCATATCAGATAAGTTTATTTCAAGTATTACACAGTGATTATGTAATATCAACAACTAGATGACAAGGTTTCGAGCATAAATTATTGCTGCTCATAATCATGTCAATTTTAGGCACATGGTTTCACAATTTGTCTTGTATATATTTTCTCTCTATACTATCTGTCCAGCTTTCCTTTGTTGTTTGTTGCCACTTTCCATATCTCCAGTATAGAGAGCGTTGAGTCGTTCCAATTGCACGTGTGCAGTGTTAAATATATATAAACAAAGCTTCAGTGATTAACCTTTTTGTCTCTCTGCCCAACTATATTATTTTTAATACTCTCACCCTGTCCTACTCACGTTACTGTGTGATAACATGCGAGGGAATGCAGTGCAGTGCAATGGCTGAGCTCTGTTTCTTCTAGGTTATCCAATTTAGCAGGGTCATCCACATATCTGCACTATAATCTAGGAGCAGGATTAAACGTTCTTAGAGTTCTTATGTTCCCAACTATTCATAAATATGTCTGCCACTATTGTGGATATTAATGATCCCATTGCCAATCCATTCGATTGTTAATATAGTTTATTTTGAAATTTGAACATGGCGAAGGTTAGACATAACTGGACACCTAATATTATTATATAAGTTTTAACATAACCAGTCTATACACTAATATTCCCATTAATACAACCTTTGAGGCAGTTAGGAATGAACTAAACACTGATGCTCAACTCGAATGTAGGACTAAACTCTCGGTGATAGTTGTCTTTCAAAAACACTCGCTGGAAGTGGAATTTGAACCCACGCCCTGTCGGACCGGTGCTTGAAACCTGAGTCTTAGAACGCTCGACCACTCTGTCAGCAGTAGAATCACATTAAAATGTTTAGTTTTTTGTAAGGCTTTGACTGATTTCAGTATAGATTACGTAACAAAACCCCATGATCTGAATATTAATCTAAAAGAGTAAATAGCTCAGTTTTAACATATCTGAGTGCAGCACTGGGTGACGCACTGCTCGATTCACAGAAATAGGGTTCACTAGCGTAAACAGTTGACCTTCAATCACTGAATTACGACTTAGAGTCCTGCTGCACCTACATCAATCTGAGAGAATAGGTTACATCATCAGCCGGCACCCGAAACGTATGGATCTTGATACATGAAAGATATGTTACCTGTAGCTCTTGATTCTCTATCACAAAGCCATAAGCAATTAGGTCAAACCAATAGAATGTGAGGAATGTTTCCTGCAGATGAAATTGTGCGGTGTTGGCATCAACTTGTGACTGAACATTTGAAAGGAAGTTTAGTTACAGTTTGCTTTCCTTGAAATATGACGGTATATAATTTGATCCTTTGTGCGTGATTATAAGTGAACAAGAACATGAAGACTGCTCCGTGCCTACCTAATTTTCAGTAATTTCCTAAATTGTCTCCTTTCGTGATAAAATTTAAATAAAACTAATCCTTAGATCATTGTTATCGACCAGAGTTTGTGTCACCTTTCTTTCTTCATCAAGTGTGCCCTCAGTGTATATTTGATTGTTTCTGCCAAGTTGATGATGTTGCTATGGGAAGTCCGTTTGGGCCCCTTTTAGCAGATATTTATATGTCGTACATTGAGAATTTATCGGAGGATTTAATCGAAAATGTGCCACTTTATAGGAGGCATGTGGATGATATTGTAATTATTAGTGAGAAGTCTTGTTATGCAGTCTCAATTTTAAATCGAATGAAGTTCAGAATAGCATCTGTAGAAGAGGAAGATAACTGTGTATCTTTCCTAGACATATCGCCTAGTCGGCGGCTTGACGGGTCAACAAAACGATCTATTTATAGTAATCCTTAGATGCCAACAATTCAGAGAATAATTTCTGTATATGAAAAGTTCGAATTCACATCTATTGTAACACAATGAGCAACAGTCACAGCAGGAAGAGAAGGAGAACGAGAGCTCAGTAAAAGCGTGCATTTGGTTCAGTGGTAGAAATTAGACAGCGCGGGTCAAGGCCTCACAAACAAAACAGTCTAACTGCAATCATTGACATTGAGTCCTGATAGACGTTGTGCCTCTTACTCCATGGGGAATAGACTTCTGGGTGTTTTGTTGAAAGTGGAGAAAAGAAAATGGTGTTAAGTTCTCTATCTATAACAGTTTTTTTATTTTGTCACAGTATGTCGTCTGTTTCATGTTTTACTCTGTCTGTATTTCAATCCAGGAATGATTGACTCATCAATTATGCCAACTATGGGTCATTTAGTCGACTTAAGACATGTCGCTGTATACGGGAGCGTTTATGCCATCTCTGATATCGCCTTCTGTTGTGCATTTGTGACTGGTAGGTTAATCCTTGTTGTTGCGGTTGTGGTTGTTTTGTTCATTTTGAGAGGGATAATTGATTGTTAGGGTCTTATACTTCTTCACTCGACTCTTCTCATTACTACTTTCTGTTATTCCTTTCCGTTCCCAGGTGGAACATAGGGTTACACACTAGAGGCTTGAAATTTATGTAGCAGTGGTGATTATTATTTTTCCGGATGGGGATGATTAATGGCTTAGCGTGGTAGGGGAGTGCGTCGCCCAAGGATGGAACCCAGGACCACATGCGTGGTCGGAGAGCATTCTACCTCTGTGCCATCTACACGTTACTGTTATTAGTCACTCCTTATGGAATATAGTGCACTGCATACCTTATTGACGACATTGCAGTCTGATTCAAATTAGTCAGAACTTCTACGCTATTCTGTACGTCAGTGGCACATCGGTAGAATGTTCGCCAACGAAGCAGGTGGTTTGGGGTTCGATCTCCGGCCACCAATGCACTCCTGAGACCGAAGAAATAAAATCTGAATTTGTTGTGAGCACATCTTGATATCGTTATGAACAATAAAATTGTTCTTTAAACGTCATCCGTAAATAAACGATTCCATATCACTGTGTGTGTGCGTCAGTGGCACAGCGCTAGAAAGCTCGTGGACCACGCAGGTGGTTTGTGGTTCGATCCCCGTACGACACACTCCTTTACCTCGATAAGCCAGTAATGAGACTAAAAAAAAGAGAAAGTTGGGGGTGCATGAGGCTAGCAACCACATCCCATAAAAAGAAATAGTACTTCTACCGAAACTTTAAGCCTCTGGCTTGAAGCCCAATATTCCACTGGGAACGTAAAGCAATAAAGTAAAATCTACACTGTTCTCTTTCATGACTGATAACGGATAATTTTCTTTTCAGTTATACGGGTAATTCTAAAAATATGAAGGTTTTTGAATTCACCACGGAAATCATAACTTGTCTAATTTTAACACTGAATTTACCTATATGAAAACAACTATATACTACTGATTCTTTGAGATAAGTAGGGGTGTATCACTCATATCAATCAAGATTACTTGCCAGCCAGCCAGCAAGTCAAATGAGAGTGATCTGAACACCGGACGGCTCTGTTCGCTGTTCAGGGCTGAGCTCACCAATGGTCTACCTGGTCCGACGTATTTCAGAGAGTCGAATCACTTCAAACGACTCGATTTCTGGCTATTTTTACGCTTTTAGTCTTGGTTACTTGATGTCAGGCAGACTTTAAACGAATCAGACCAGCAAGCGATGCTAATTGGTGTGATTGGTAATACAAATACTCTTCTTAATCAATCAGTGGTATATATTGTTTTATGCATCCACTCCGGATTTCCTAATTGCCATATATGGTATCACATATTGTGGCGATCTGAATAATTTTCTGTTCCCAAAGGGAAACTTTAGTGATATAAGTGTACAACTTGGGCACTGTGGTAGAGTATAACTCCAGTATGAATAAGATTTTATTTTGATAAGTCACATAGTGTTGTCATACAGCAATATTAACTGATGACCACGTTTCGAGCACAAACTATTGCCACTCATAATCATATCAAGTTACTCACACAACGTTTTTCCTCATTTATATACATCTGTGGAATCGATTAGACATTGGAATAAACATCAATGTATGATAATGTACATTCAGAAATAATAATAAAATGAGTGTTATTAATCAATTACAATCAGATGCCAAATAAGACGAGTGTTTTTATAGTCATAGTAAGTAACTTGTTAAAATGTTATGATGTGCTTGAATTGAAATAGAATTTAAGATTATTTATTATCCTCTTGTGATTTGACCGGCGGTAATAATATCTTCCATATATATCTCTGGTATTTGCATTGAGTCATTTCTGCTGCATGTGTTGAGTGTAGACTCGATGAACCAGGACAAGCTCTGTAGGTTAAAGGACCCTGTTGACCCAATTAAACAAAATAATATAATTTACAAAATACCCTGTAATGACTGTCAGGTCAACTACATTGGTCAAACTAGTAGGTGGGAGTAATCAGATTATCATAACATAAGAATTTAGCAAATGGAAGAATGGTTGACCCCGAAAAGATAAGTAATTTAGAAAAAAGCTCAGCAATTCCACTGCGCTGCATGCATTAACACACAACCACACAATAGGATGGGAGAGGGTTAGAATTCTAAAAAGTAATCTGTGCAGGTGGAGAGAGAGGTTGATTACTGAATCTTTGTTCATCGAATCTACACCCAACACATGCAACAGGAATGACTCAACGCAAATACCAGAAATATGGAAGATATTATTACCACCGGTCAAATCAGAAGAGGATAATAAATAATCTTAAAATTCTACTTGAACACTCGTCTTATTTCCCATCTAACTGTAATTGATCAATAACACTCATATTACTATTTCTGAATGTACCTTATCATACATTGATGTTTATTCAAATATCTAATCGATTCCACACATGTATATAAATGAAGGAAAAAAGTTGTGTGAGTAACTTGATATGATTATGAGCGGCAGTAGTTTGTGCTCGAAACGTCATCAGTAAATATTACTTTACAGCAACACTGTGATTTATCAAAATAAAATCTTATCCATAAGGGAAACTTTAGTGAAATAATCACCTCCTCGAACTGCGTAGATTGTGAATTCATATATATAATTGCGAAGTAGTTTGCCACACTTGAGAATCCGATTTATTGAAGTAATTTTTTGACTAAAAGTACGATATACTTAGAGGACTAGGCAGACGAAATGAATACAGGTATTTTTAAGTAGTTTTTCAGTAGTATATAATAACTAGATTATTTTTTTATCTTATATTTTCAGGACCTTTACTTAGTACTGTATTGATTAGAGCATTTGGTTTTAAGTGGTGAGTTTAATGTTCAGTTTACTTGTGTTTACGATTTAATCATGATACTTTGAAAGGAATGAAATCATCATTCTACTGTGTCTAATTTTAATAGATCTACTGATGTCATTGTAATTATTATTCCCAGCCTGGTGCGCGATGTCACTCAACAGTTTCCTGATCCATCTATAATTCCTCCTGCATATTGTTGAACAGCAGGTTCTTAGTTGCTTTGTCCCCAGGGTGACCTTTTGCTAATTCTTCCTTGCAATTTGATCTTCAGTATGGATCGAAGGCGGCTGTAAGTGGAAGTCTGCATTAGCCCCTTAGAAATCATTTTGTGAAGGGCCCGCCAAGCTTCTCACCCATAAAGAAGCACTAACTTCACATTATTGCTGAAATTGCGAATCTTGTTCTTTATGCTGGCTGAGTGTAGGAGATTTCCAAACTAATTCCGTAGTGATCAAGCTTTCTCCCATTGGTAGTGATTGCTGCTGTTTGTTGTCGCTGTTGGTTGGTTAACTTCATCACCTCCGTCTTTTCTATGTTCACTTTGAGTCCTGTTTTCGCTATCTGTTTCTTCTTTTAACTTGTTTGTCTTGGACACTAATTCTTTGAGTTTGCGTTACATTATACATAAATTGTCCGCAAATTCCTTATCATCTAGACTTTTTTATCTGTTCAGCGTTTCTCTGGTTTCTCGCTCCCAAAAGTCTTCCATATAATCCAGGCCTGTACAGTTAGGAAAATCACATTGGGTGAAAGCATACAGCTTAGTCTTATTCCTGTCTTCACTTCAAATGCCCTCCCGAGTTTTCATTGTGAATCACTTGAAATGTGGCATCATCATATAGCTGTCTAATGAGGCTGGTTAAGATTTGGTGCACGCCACAGTGTTGCAGTGGTTTCGAAATTACTACGTGGTCAACGCTGTCGATGGTCTTTTCAAAGTTGATGAAGCTGAGGTAGAGACATTTTTCATTACAACTCTATGCTTTGTTTAATGATGATGATGTGTAGAGTTGCCATTTTATTGTAGTTGTCAACTGATTTAGAGTTGTTGAATTCAGTTTTGTTTTTATCGTTGATTGTTTGACCTGAAATGTTCAAACTTTGTTGACACTTAGACTGCTAGCACGGACCCTTAGTTAATTTCTACAGAATCTACATATCAACAGACGCGGAGTATTTCAAGCCAATCTATTGACCGGGAGATCACAATTACCTCTGAACAAGAGATGGCTCTCGCGTCCCAAATGGTCTGGAGGATAACGCTTTGGTTTTTGAGTCTTCATGGGAACAGTATCACTCACTAAAAATTGCTGGCTAATAAGTTTCGAATAGAACAAAATGCGCGTTCTGTATTCCACTGCTAGCAACCACTCAGTAAAGAACATCATGATCTAGAGTTGTGTTAGAGTCTAATCAAATAGGTTGTGATTTTCAGCCTTGCCACAAATCAACTGAAAGTTCTATCCCAAACTGGGAAAAGAATTGTTTTGAAAGAGGCAAACATAAAAGTAAATGGTCGGTACTGAGGTGCTGCACTTATAAGATTTCATGATGAACTGACATCAGTCAAAGAACCATCACAAATCATGGAGTACCATACACATATTTCTAGTTGTATATGTAGTGCTCAGACATAACGCATTAGTCGTCAAACGCAGAAATTTTAAATCATGGAACAGCTTACACCATCTGAGTGCAATGCAGCTTCTCCAATAGGTTGTTGATAAAATATTGTAAACTCCTATTTAATGTATAGATTGTTTAGTTCCCAATGGCGATTGCCTTGTTCCTGGATGTAAGATTATAATGCCCATTTGTTTTTCCATTCACTTTCCAATTTATCGTCGATTGATCGGGCCGAAACGTTCAGCTTCTTTAAAAATGAAAGCCTCAGGTACGGACATTTCAACAATCTTTGAGGATTCACTTGAAATAATGTGGTGGATTGTGACTGGTAGCGAGGTAGTGGATGCGCATTATATCCTATTTGGGACTGATTAACTGAAAGCTTCCGTCCTACGAGTGGACTAGTCAACACAGACCGAACACTTCGTTCCAATCAGTTGACTGGAATTAGAAGTTAATTGGTAGATGGTGACTGGCAGTAGATTCCAGGATGCACATTTCGTCCTATTTCGCACTCATCATCTGGATGTTACTGCATCTCGCATTGAATGATGGTGTTCCCACTGAAATACAGGTATATACAGCTGATTAGTCTGGAATAGGACGAAATGTGTATCATGGATTCCACTGCTAAACAACCATCCACCAACTAACTTCGAATTACATGCCCAGACATCATCGAAGCATCTGCATAAGAAGCCGACATGTCAACCTGAAATCGAGCACTTCTTTTCAACCAATTGACGGGAAAATCTAAAGTGAGTTGAAAGTAAATAATTACTGGCACCCATTGAACGAGAGGTGGATGTTGTGGATCAAAGAGTCTGGTGGATAAACTTTCAGAGTGTAAGATGGTGTTTGCTGAATCCGTGTCTCTGTGGAACTACCTTCCCCTGCTGGGAAAAGCTGGCACATCTTCATGATGAGTTTCAAATGGGACGCAAATCACGTTCTGGATTCTACTGCCGGTCACCATTCACCAAATGACATTTATTCTTACAAACACATATTAAGATTATCATTAACATTACTTTGGATTAGTTGCCACTGTGATAATGTTATTTAAACCAGTATTTAGTGAGGCTTTTAGAAACTTTCAGGAGAAGAATTACTCACAAATTGCTAGAACTATATTCTTGAGACCAGGAAATACCTAAAAATACAATTCATAAGCTAGATTTTCGATCATACTGTACATCATGATTAGGTAGAAACGTTTAGAAGACATTCGGAAAAGCTTACATAAATCATTATATTTATTGATATTCTCGGTAAAATCATTTGTCGATGATCTGTTTATATATTTGGTGGGTAAGCCTGAATATGCTTTTACATACCTAACATACATATTTATTCTATTTGTCTAATATAGGACTCTTTGGACTACTGCAATAATATGCTTTGTCTATGCACCATTGACACTAATTCTCAGAAATCCGCCTAGGCGAAAAACTGCCCGAAGTGAGGTAAGTCACGTGTTTTTTCTGCAGGCTATTCCGTATTTTTGTGACTAACAAGTGCAAAGAAGTAAGTGCCGAATATAATTGTGAATCTTCAAACGTTTTTTGAGAGAGATACTACAGACTTCAGTCCCCATTAATGATTGTCACGGATAGGTAGACTTTGGTCTCCCTCTCGAAATGCTCCTATATTGCTACTCCTTCACAGCCTGTGCCAGTTGAATATTATTCACTACCTTCATGCGCCACGTGAGTGTTCTTCACAAAGTGAAAAGGCAAATATGATTGCCTGACGTTAAAGGATGGACTGATGGATATGCATTTCTGCCAAGAACAGGTAAAAATTCCTGATTGAAAACCTATGGTGCACATTTGCTGAAGAATACAGACTAATTCAAAGATGTATGAACCTGTTTTGGTCACCATCGACCATGAGAACGTAGCTCCTGTCACTGCACAGCCAAATCTGTGTTTTAGCAATAATACAACAAGGGTATATATATAAGGTGATTTGAAGCAAAAAGCAGGCTGTTTCTGCAGTCATGAAGAAACTCATGATGCGATTCTAACCCACATTAATCAGTGCTGCAGTCAGAGATGTTACCACTGATTTCCTGGAATTCACGTATGACTTTATGTCAAACGGTAGTGTATATATTTGGCCGGTCATTAAGGTGGATAGTAAATACACATTGTCTGGAGGTTTACCGGCCAATGTTATTCGTTAACATGTATGAAATTCTGAGCCTCATAAAAATTAATGGAATTTATTAGGAAAGCCACTGAATTGAGAATGACGCTTCTGTTGCAACAGAGCCTCACTGATATTTGCATGTCGTCCAACCTGACTAGAATGACCCTCAAAACACGACCGTATGATCAAAAGATCTCCTGGAAACATCCTACAACACTGGGGTGAACTTAAAAGTCAGATACAACTACTACAATAATAATAATTTACTTTATTCCAGAAACAGTACTTATAATACAGAATGGAATTCTCAGCATTTGTCACAATATTGCATCTGATTTACTCAAAATATATATAAAATTAAAACAAAATTAATCGGAGGAATTTGTCCACATTTACGACATAATTATTAGGTATAATAATAATAATAACAATAATAATAACAGTGCGTTTGTTTCAAACAGTGTTGGCGATTCAGTTCGGGAACTTTAGCATGTTATAGATTATTGGGTCTAATGTTCTGTTGATATAGTATAGCTTAAAATTATGACCACACTTATGAAAAGAAATAAACAAAACGAAAAGATTGAGAGGATTATAAGTATAAGAAGAACAATAACAATAAAGGTTGATGCTTTAAAAGTGAAGGAAATGGTTTATTTAGTGATGCAAAGAAGGTTAGTTAGTTCATGCCTGACACTATTTTCATCACATAAAGTAGTTTCCAGATATGGTATAGTGGAATTTTTATACTTAGACGTACGTGCGTAAATTCTTCTGAAAAGACTTCTTGTTTTACCTGAGGAGACACAAGGTTGGAGCTGCGGGTAGAGTGGATGCTCAGAGTCGCTCAAAATTCCTTTAGCCAATTTGTTGCATGACATCAAGTGCTTATCAGTGACAATGTCAATGATGTGGCCCAATAGGATACCACTCGTCCTACTGACAGTCTTCAGAGTTCTGCGAAGTATGACATAGTCTTTTTTAAGCAACTCAGGAAAGAATAAGGGTGAACAGTAAAGAAGAATAGGTAAAATACGCTAGTTGGTAAACTGTAAGAGGAGGAGGGGTTGAGTTATGCCTGAATGCCTTAACTTCTTAATGTAAAAGTCAAACGAAAGGAAACAGAAAAGGAGAAAGGACAGCGCCTTGAGGGACACCAGCCTCAGTAAGCAATGAATTGGACGACTGTCCCTGACATAGAGTGTATTGCTTTCTTCCTGAGAAATAAGAATGGAGCCATTTGACAACCCAGCAGTCAGTTTGAGTTTCAGCAAGCTTCTTTAGTAAAATGTCCCTAGGTACTGAGTCGAAAGCAGATGTATAATCTAGAAGGGTGCAGCGAACAAATTTAGCCCCCTTGTCTAAGCTGGAGACAATGTTATGATACAAGACTGCAGCTGCATCTAAAGTAATTCTACTGTGTTTGTAAGCGAATTATTATTATTATTAGACAAAATACATGCCGCAAAACCTCAGAAATGTAAGCCATGAATAAACGAATCAAAAACTGCCCACTAAGGTTACCATGTCCATGTATGCATAAACCGTGACTTCACGGTTAACAAACAAGCTCACCCGTTGTAACAGCTTTTGTTATAGGCGTTTAATGCTTTATTTTACAGAGAAAGGCTGAAAATAGTGGAACGAAGAAATTGTTCAGCTCACCAGCGTTTAGATATGATGGAGAAGATCTGAAGATCAGGTGGATGATTTTGATGTATTTGTATTCTCTGGGATAAAGGTTTTATTCGAGGACGTTTCATTGCCTCACTTGGCAACATCTTCAGCGCAAACTTCAATTTAAAGTGTGCTTTTAGATTTCTCCACCAGTTTATTTGTCATCTCTCCTGGTGGCCTTGAACGCAATTGGAAGACTCTGCAAGGTCTACAAGATTCTCCAAACATTTAGAAATTGATGCAACTGAAAAGCCAACAAAATGACAGCACTCAGCTCTATGTCAACCAAAAGACTGAGCAGAGAAAGAAGGTAAAGCCGACATCATCTACAAAATAAGTTGCAGCAACTGTGCAAAACACTACATTGGTCAAAGCGGATGTTCCCTTCGTCTTTGTATCCATGAAAATAAGCAAGCCGTCAAAAGACAACAAATCCACTTCCTCACTCATATTGCTGGATACAGACAACCATGGATATCAGCTCGACTTGGACAACGTTCAAATATTAGACACAGGAAACAAAAAGAGTGCTAGAGACTTTTTTAAAGCCTGGTATTCCAGTGAATCGTCAATCACTAGACACATTGAAATATACAAAATCTACCAATCGATAAGAAGGGAATCTCATAAAAAAGGGTAAAACTTCAGGCCAAGGAAACAGTCAACACCAATACCAATACAAGTAACCTAGGGGTGTGAAAACACACAAAAACAACCAACCACTTTCAAGGTCATCGGGAGAGAAGATTGATAGTGAACGCATGGAGAAATCTAAAGCTGATTTCAACAAACTGAAGTATGTACTGAAGATGTGCGTTGGCAGCACAGCGGTTAGGACTCTAGCTGACCATGCACATGGTCAGGGGTTCGATCGCCTGTCGACGCACACCTGATATCTATGGCCGGCCTGCAAAATTTGGGCTACCGATATCACATGCTGAAAATCCTATACCTGTACCGAAAATACGGTGTGGAGTGAAGCTGCAATCAGAAATAAAAAATAAATAGTAGGGCAGTCAAAGCTTCGCAAATAAACTATCCAGCTCAGAGAACACAAATACATCAAAATCACCTAGTTTTACTTCTCAATGAGTGCACTGAATCCTGATGGTGATTAATAGCGTCTCACGGCATACGCCGCGTTGAGGTTATGGAAACCACTCAGATCAAACTTAAAGGCTTGCCTGCCAGTTCAAAGTAATCTTAATACCGGACAGTCGTTCTGCTCACTTGATATGTATTTTATTGTTCGCCGGCCGATGTAATTGTTAGTGAAATGTGGGCTGATTACATCCATGGTGAACACCATTTACATATATTCTTGATTATATTTGGGAAAACAAATTAAGTACGGTGCCTTGGTTAGTTTACCAAGTGCAAAGTATTATTTTCGTGATATAACACAACACTCAGGAATACATTAAGTCTTGTAGACACTACTAAGATAGTGAATAACATTTGTGATAATCTGTTCCACATCAAATCCAACCTATTTTATACACAGCCTTGCTTGAAAATAAGTAAACAAGCTAATATTTTCAGCCTATTCATTGACCTACTTATTTAACATTTTAGTAGTCAAAACAAATTGATAAAAATGAGTTACTTGAGTCTACACGAACTGGTAATGGGATATTGGCAACCAGTGTCTTTCCACCAGTGAAGTGTGCAATATGGTTATCAGGTTAGCTCATATGATGGTGACAGTGAAAAATTATTCAAATGAAGTCGAACTGAATGAAGGCCAAAAATGACCAAAATTTCAGTAAGGTGAATCTTGACTGAATAAGCATCAATATGGAAATTCCTACAAACGTTCGGTGGTTCAGGTTGCTACACTCCGTGTATAGAACAAAGTTATACGAAGCAAAGGGAAGTAAAGGAACTTAGGAATAATATAATAAGTAGAAATGTGAGGGGAAAAGAAGAGTAACATGGAAAAAATGAGAGTTTGATTGATCTGTGACACTGATGATTATTTTCGGCTATATTTCTAGTAGTCTCGGGCCATTAGTTCTAAGCCTGCCGTGGAAGCCTGTGTATCTTTACTCGTCTGGCTCAAACTAGCTATCAAAGATGTCATGAACTGATGCCATGTTTTGATATGAATGCCTTTAACTCCTTTCCAACCTGATCCAATTTCTAAGTTAACTGGTGAAATCCAGGATGCGCATTTTGTCCTATTTGGAATTCGGTGGGAACATCATCACTCACCATGGAGTGCAGGTACATTGGGCTGACGAGTCCCAAGTGGGATGAAATACGCATCCTGGCTTCGACTGCTAGTCACCATCCACCAATTAACTTCTAATTACTTGCCCTAACAACGCTGAAGCATCTGTACAAGAATTCCAGGTGTTCACCTGAGATCTAGCACTTCTGTCCTATCAATCGATGGGAAAATCTAAGATTGAATTGCCCATCGAAAAAATCAATGGCCAGGCAAATGAAACACCTGTCTTAACTACCCCAGTCGATTCACCTTCTCAACTTCTTTGATCAACTTACCCGACTTACTTTGTACTCCACACTTAACCTGAATATTACTCATCATATTATGCCGCCTAACACTGTGGACAGAATTCAGATACCTACCATTAAGGAGTGCTAGCCAGCCTTTTCATATCTTCCATTTCCATTAGCTACGTCTCACAGCACTAAGCAAGGAGAGAGAAAACTTATGTACAGTGCATGCCTCCTTTGGTCGATAGTTGGATATACCATCTTCGCAAGAGATGATATAAATTGGCCACTGTAACACAAGCCTTCCATATCCATGTTTGCTGGTGAAGTCTGTGATTCCAAAACAAACACGAAGTCTGGATCAGGGTGGACCTGCTTTCGACTGACTTCCGCTTACATATATTATCTTAATTCTCCAAATTTGTTGGGATTTATAACATTTATTTGTATTTACCATATCTCTTTTTATCCTTATCGTAATTTCTTTTCATGTAGGTCGTTTCTGATGAATGGTGATGTAATTTTATAAATTTATTGTAGTATTGAAAATACTGGATAAAATGTAAATTCCTGCTTCAAATATGGTATGCTGTCAATAAAAAAATGTTATTACGTATTTGTTTTTAATTCACTCCTAATTTTCCTTTTTGAATCGCTTGACCTCTGCTGACATGTTAGCTTCTGCCGTGTACGGACGCTTTGACGATGTCAGAGGATTGAGTTAAAAGAGTTCGGTGTCTGTTTTACTTTAGCGTTTCAAACGATGTCTATTGGGTTCGAGTCTCTTGGGGAACAAAATAGCTCACTTTTGAATGCAGGTACATCCAATGATGAGTCTGAAATAGGGCGAAACTTCCATTTAGTCTATCTATGGTTTTTTAGAGTAAGTACTTAGTTACCAGTTAGCAGGTTACAATGAAACACGCAGTTGCTTAGTTTGTGAAGTAGGTGAAACGAAACTTGAACCCAGGATGCGGTAGCTGAATGTGAAGTACTTAAGCCTATGAGTCACATACTCATAGTATCGTCTAATCTCCAAATGTATTCATTTCACGTAGGCCAGGAAACAACTGCTGGGCCAAACAAGTGTTGGTTCATCCAAGATACAATATACAGTCAGAGATCTACTCTGTTGAGAGTGAGTGCATGCTTGGCTAATCATATACTGGGTATGATAAACCTAACTTCACCTGACAGTGTGACAAATGGTGTGCTTGCCACACTGTGAACTCTCAACACTGAAGGTCAGCCAGCCAGCACCTAATGTTGAATAGTGACGAGACTGTAGACTAATAATTTCATGGGCTTGTTTACAGTTGCATAGCTGTTTTATGCACCTGTAGTAATCATAGGTCCTCAAGTGAGTTATTCTTGCCTTGTAAACGCCTACTGGATAACGTAATGGTAAATTTGGGACGAACTCAGTGTGAAAGTGTGCCATCATTGCTTCGAGATTACTTATCAGGTCCTAAATATAGTCAAATGTTCGGTTGTGAATTTTTCCACTTCATCCGTTTAATAGTGCGCATTCGGATTTCAGATGAAGCACGAATCAATTTAGGATTCTAGGCTCATTTTAATTTTTCAGAGAGGCTTCACTGATATCTAGAATTATTGCGCCATGTCATTTTTGACTTCGTCGAAACTGAACCTAGTGTGTTCGAGGCTGAAATTCAGAGTTGTAGTTGGACACCAATCCAATCAATCGGTAGTGCTTGCTAGACGAATTGAATAGATTTAGACGCTGGACAGCGGTTTCCCTCACATGGCAGTCAAATTTCCCGCTCGAACAGTTAAATCTGCAAATTGAGCATTTGATTCAGCAGATTACTGGTTCTTAGATGGTTGGAGGCAATCACTAAGCAGTGATCCAGGGCCAAAGATTTCATCCTCGTTCGCACTCAATAGTTAGCAAGGCGTATCTGCAGCCTTGAAGGAATTCAAGTCCCTTCTGAAATTTGAAGCTGCGTCATCAAGTCCTGAAGTTAGGGAAGTTACCACAGAAATAAAAGGGCTCGCAAATGACCCTCGTAGGACTACATTGGATACTTTGATTGGGCACGAACTGGTTTCATGCGTCCAGTCCTTTGTTTGCTATAGACTGAATTCTTTCAATGAAGTCTGCAATATTCCTACCATGTTAGGTGACTCTGCATCACGGTGCACTCAGAATAGTTGATATTAGATGGTTGGAGACAAACAGCAGGAAGTCCTGGACCTAGGTCTCGTGATTTTTGTCACTCGTCAGCAAGGCTTTCCGTTGTTCGCCGCCAGCCATTTACCAACAGAAATTCTGAGTACACCATCACGGACAGCCACCCAACATGGTGACCACATTGCAAACTTGATTAAAAGAATTCAGTATGCAGCAAACAAACGACTAGACACATGGCAGCAATTAGTGACCAGTCAGAGGATTACCAGAATTTCATCTTCAGCTGACATTGGTTAGAGAACCAGTGGAAAACCTGGGAGTACTGGACAGCTGTTTCGTCATCCCAGTTCGCGACTTTTCATCAGTGCGCACCCACACAACGGGTTTCGAACCCAGGACTTTCGGGTTACAATGCGAGCTAGCTCGTAGACCATTAAGCCATTGGGACCCGATCCAATGGCCAACCCATGAATTCTAAATTCTGCCAATTCACGACATAGCGCGACCAACACTTGAATATCGATGAGATGCTCACTAGCGACTTGCCCTATTCAGGTGGGTAATTACCTGGGGTTCTAGTGAGAAATCGTGACCAGTGAGGTGCAGCAGGTCAGGTGTGAGGACAAATACTCGCCAAAGACATTGGCTGGCGGTTGCGCTATATAGTGAATTGGCAGAAGTTAGAATTCATTGGCCATTGGATCGGGTCCCAGTGGTTCAATGGTCTACAAGCTAGCTTGCCTTGTAACTAGAAGGTCCCGGGTTCGAACCCCGTGGTGCTGGTAAGTACTGCTGGAGAGTCTCAAACTAGGACGAAGCAGCTGTTCAGTACTCTCAGGTTTTCCAATGGTCCGCTAACAGCTGTTAGATCATGATGAAATCCTGTAACCAGTCAAATCCCTACAAACCAACACTTGAATACAGAGGATTGCCAGTTGGCCCAAGTATCTGGCCAGAAGTCGAATAATGGGAATTGTCTCTCAGTTGAGTTAATCCGGTCACATTACTTACCAGCTGGGCCTCAAACGTTGGAAACTGTCACCCATTGTTTGCATCACTTCGATCCAGGTAGCATGCAAGCGATAATGTATGGTGTATCCTACTACTTATTTGAGTCAAGCAGTAGTATGCACCATCATGTTTTAATGGTCTCAAGTAGATCAAATGTTGTCATCTTAATATTTTCGGTTTGTAAAGGAAACTACGGTGAAGTTCCACCTCCTCGAACTGTCTAATTTACAAGCTGAGAGCTGAATTCATAAGAGTAAAAAACTATTTTACTCGATTCAATTAAGCGCTCCTTATTGAAAAACCTATTAACAATATTTCTTAGTTATTTATGACGATTAAACGTATTCAAGAGTGTCTAAAATTGTTTTTCGCTCTTTGTTAGTCATAAGTATTTTCCAGTCAGTTTAAGAATTGATATCACACATGTATTTCCAAACTCTCTAATTACGTAACAGAACTTAGGCAACGTGATAGAGTATTATTACATATAAGTGCTGTTATTATTGCCTTGAGTTCTGAGTAAGACATACAGCTTCAACAGCTCATCGCCACTTTACGCTGTTCTGTGTAGTTCTCTTTAGCTCAAACTACGATTGGCTATAAACTGTTATCTACTCCACACACACACCCACGATCTTCCTCTTGTTAAATTTGGAAGCCCACACTCGAGAGTCTGTGTTGCTTACGGTATCATACAACGGTCTCTTCAATGTGTTTCAGACTCATCCCCATTGACGTTGGAATATTTGTTGAGCAACATGTTCTTGTTTGCTTCTCTCCTGTAGTTCCGTGCTGCTAATTCTTTTCGACTATTTGATCTTCACTACTGAGCTAGAAAAGACAGCTGTTGATAAATCACTTCAGTAGCCTGTAAGAAATGTCTTCTGTGACGCTCACCCCAACTTTCTGACCCATACAGAAGAACATCAGTGTTGAAAGTCGAAATTTTGTTTGCTTATGCTGAGTGGAGAAGAGTGCAAGCTAGACTGATGATGTTCTATCTTGCATTTGCGATTCTGGCTTTGACATTCTCATTAGCGCTGAATGTCTTTAGTTGAAG